GTTCATAAAGCACAATTATGTAGCCTGGTAAGTTCTGATCAAGGGTCTGCTTCTGGTAAGGGCCTTCTCATTGGTGGGGACTGTCGAGTCCCAAGGCAACATAAGATACCACATGGGAGACTAAGCAAGCAAGGCCAAGAGAGCTTGCTTGTATAGCAAAGTCATTCCCATAAAACCCCACTAATCTACGAATAGACTAATCTCCATTGACAAGAGACAGAGCTTTCATGACCAACTCACCACCTAAGAGTCCCACCCCCAAATAGCATCTGACCTTGGTGATGAGGTTTCTAGCACATGAATCCCAAGAAATAAACATTCAAACCACATCAGGTAGATGTCCTAGTTTGCTTTCTGTTGCTGTGATGAAACACTGATTAAAACCAACTTGGGGAACCTGGAGGCAAGTACTGAAGCAGAGACTGTGGAGGAGTACTGCTTACACAACCCAGTCTCAGAGCCCAGGGTGGCATCACCCACAGTACCCAGGCCTCCTACATCAATTAGCAATTAGGAAAATACCTCAGAGAAAGACCCACTGGCCGATCTGATGGAGGAAATTCTTCAGTTGAGGCAACAGGTGTGTCAAGCTGAAAACTGAAGCTAACTGTGACAGTAGGGATCTTAGAAAATGTAGATTCTGATTTGGTAGGGCTGGTGGGTGGCTAAGATACACATCTCTCAACAGTTCCAAGTGCTCCTGGTCCAAGCACCAGACTTAGAACAAGCAGGATTGAATATCTGGTACTTAAAACAATGCACTTCTGTTGGAGCCGAATTCAAAATGTCCATGGAGTCTTCTAATTGTATGTTAGATTCCACTGAGCTTTAGAATGAAATATTTGCTTGCACTGTAATTCTTGAAAGATTTTTATTCCAAAATGATGCGTGAGAGCTATTAATCAAAATACCTAAATAGAATTCTTCAATTTTTACATTTCAGATGATATAAAACTTACCACCATTTTGTCTCCTTATCTATGAATTATTAATGGTAAGAGAATCAGTATTAGCTAGATTATCTGTGTTTTTGTGTCTGGTATGAGTTATATGTAAACTTAAGGGGTCTGCAAGATGGGTCGGTGGTAAGAGCATGCCAAGTCTGATGAACCTGAATTTGATCCCTGGGTCCTGCATGGTGGAAGAAAAGAACTGACTCCCACAAGTTGTCCTCTGATAGCCACATGTATGCTGTGGCATGTGCATACACACACAATAAATAAATAAATAAATAAATAAATAAATAAATAAAATAAAGTAAAAAAAATGTATAAACTCAAGACATGAGAAAACACAAACTCTTGTGGCTTTCAGAAATAGAAAGGACCCTGAGTAAAGAGCCATTCCCACCATGTGAGTCTGGTACAGGAATTTTAGTTACAAGAACTTGATTAGGAAACATCAGAATGACCAGATTTCACAAGAGGATCAGTCAACAGTGCTGAGGCGTGTTCTGATCAGCAGCTGTCTTTTTGGACTGGGAGGTTTCAGAGTCTTGCTGGGCAACAATTTACCAAAAGAACACTGCTGGTCTTTACCTTGTGGTTCATTGGTGTGGCACGGAAGAAAGGTCAATGACAACAGATATAGTAACAGGAAGGAAGGTGGGCCCAAGAACTATCCCGGGAACAGGACAGAGACCTGTGTCTCACGCATTAACATTCATCTGGCCTGGGCCTGTCTAGGTGATCGAAGAGTTTACACAGTCTACCATGAGACCATTATTGTGTCCCTAGGACAGCCTTAATGTGTGTGTGTGTGTGTGTGTACACATGTCTAAATGGATAAAATCAGTAGGCTGGCTGAGACTTTGCAAGTTACCTAATCCAACCATTGTATCATATGGGCTCCAGTGTCATTTCCAGGCAAAGAGAGCAATTCACTTTCTTCTAAAAACACTCCAGATATGCGGGGTGTTGTAGTACATACCTTTAATCCAAGCCCCTCAGGAGGCAGACCTCTGTGAGATAGAGGTCAGCCTGTTCCACATAGTGACTTCCAGGTGGGCTGGGACTGGGGAGACCATGTCAAAACAAACAAGCAAACATAAAAACTCTCCACGTAAGTCTGTTTCATAACCCTTCTCACAATTATGTCTGTTCAGTGCTTCACACACTCAGCAAACATTGTTTATTACCAGTATAATCACTTTCTAAACAGTCTCTGTGCTCTTCTTAAAGATCTCGGAATATGGATGGCTCTCTACAGGGCATCAACATGTGTAAGTCCTGGTTCCCGCCCACTCCTCATTCATCACATCTGAGCTCTTCCACAAACATTAGTGGAGCCTTCATTCAGAATTGAGCTTTCCTCCGAGCGCCCTTAATGTTTCATTTATAACTTTACTATTTATCACAGTCTGCACTTTGTTATAGTGTGTGCATGCATGCGTGTGCATATTTCCTCTGCTGGATTAACATTTTTATTTAGATATAAAATGGAAAAGTTTGGATTAGGTCAACTATCTGTTACAGGTTAGGGTTCTTTATAATTTGGGGAAACTATTTTATTTATTTTTATTTTATGTGTATGAGTGTTTTGCCTGAAGGTATGTAAATGTACCTGTGTGTACAATGCCCACAGAGGCCAGAGGAGGGTGTCAGATCCCCTGGAACTTGAGTTAGTGACAGTTGTTAGCTGCCATATGGGTGCTGGGAATTGAACCCAGGTCCTTTGCAGAAGCAGCCAGTGTTCTTAACCACTGAGCCGTTTCTCCAGCTCCCAATTTGGGGAAACTTTAAAGAATCTATGTTGTATTTTCTCAGTACGTAGTAACTTTGGTAGATCAGAAGCTTGATAGGTACCTGTTCAATTAATATTAGCAGTCTGTGCTCAAGAAGTGGGTATACTATTGATTGTGATCAATACTATTGATTGTGATTTGTTAAGGCAAAAAGATGGAAACAACCTAAACATCTGCTTATAAGCTACTAATTAACTGCATTTTGGCTCACTGATAGAATGGTAGGTACCTACTGAACCCACTGATTGAACTCATTGAAAAACATGGGTTCATCTCTAAGCTATGATATTTAAATGGAGAGTGAGATTCAGAATAATGCATGTTATATACTAACATTTATGATGAAAAGGTGTTGTGTTATATATGCATAGGAGAGCCTTAGGATATTAAAAAATTGGTATGAGCAGCTGATGGCTGGGGCAGAGAACTGGAAAACTGGGACGGAAGCAGGGGCTCTTTTGGGATCAGGAGGCCTATTGTAGAATTTGACAATTACTGTGTTGTAACAATATCCCCACCATGGCCACTTTCAGGCCTAGTCTCTTTTAATAGTAGTTTAATATTAATAATAATAATAGTTAATAATAAAATTTTCTTGTCTCCAGTAAGCTGATAGGCACTAGTGTCAAAGCCTACGTTTAGGCTTGGGGTTGGGGGAGGGAGAGTGGCTGCTTTCTACTGCAGACCCTTGGGGAGGTTTTAGTTTCTCATGCCATACTTGGTTTGTCCACCTAAAATGTGATAAGGGGCTGGAGAGATGGCTCAGCCGTTAAGAGCACTGACTGCTCTTGCAGAGGACCCAGGTTCAATTCCCAGCACCCACATGGCAGTTACAAACTGTCCTTAACTCCAGTTCCAGGGGAATTGGAAGCCCTCTTCTGACCTCCACGGCACTGCATGACACTGGTGCACTCACATACATGCAGGCAACATACTCAAACACATAAAATTAAAAAATAATAAATAAAAAAATATTAAAAAAGTGATGATAAAAAGTTACATTTAGAATACCTGCTTTCCTTAGGCTGCTGTGTTCCTTATCTCTTGTCTATGATAGTTCTTTCTTGATAGTGCTAATCTGCTATCCTGCTGGTTCAGTCTGCTTAGTTATGAGTCCTGTCACTGCAGTCTAGCACTAAACAATAGTGATACTGGTAGCATCTTCATGTGTACAGAGGCAGATACCTTCTTAATGTAGAAGCTGTGGGTACCTTCAGTCCAGGAGACAACTACTTTCAAACCTAAGCCACTGGGAAGGCTAGGCATACAGCTTAGGTGCATTGTGTTAGGGTGTGGCTCGTTTGGAGATCAAGGTGAGACCATGCTACATTAACATTCATGACAGGCTTCTTTGCCTTGGCAGCCCAGCCCAGAGGAGCTGGCTGCAGCAAAAGCCCCCCACATTCCCAAGCACACAAAGGAAGGCCAAAGTAAGACCCAGCCCAAAGGGAGAGGAGGTCCCAGGTAGTACTGACCCACAGCAAAATCACAGTTCATTCTAGAAACCGTTTGCAGCAATCCCCATGCTTGCTCTTCACGACTGGATTCAAAGGGTTTAAACAATTCTTGCTTCAACGTTCTAACCAACTGCAATGTACCACACACCTATGGTTTTAATTGTGTGATGTCTGTTTTCCCTAGTTATCGGAGTACAATGATTGTCTATTTTATTTTTTTATTTTATGTCTATGATTGCCTGCATGTATGTGAGTGCACCTGTGTAGTGCAATTCTGGCCGTCAGAAGGCGGCTTCAGATTCCCCTGGAACGGGAGTTAAGGACAGTTTGTAGCCGCCATGTGGGTGCTGGGAATCGAACTCAGGTCCTCTGCAAGAACATGCTCTTAACTGCTGAGCCATCTCTCCAGCCCCGATTGTCTCTTTTTAAAAAATATTTTATTATTTTTATTTTATGTGTATGGGTGTGTTGCCTGCATGGATGTAAGCTCATCCATGTTGTGCAGTGCCTGCGGAGGTCAGAAGAGGGTGTCCTATTCCCTTGGAACTGGAGTTATGGACAGTTGTTAGCTGCTATTTGGATGCTGGGAATCAAACCCGGGTTTTCTGCAAGAGCAGCAGTGCTCTTAACTGTTGAGTCATCTCTCCAGCCCCAATGATTGTTTCTTGCATGGACATATTCCTAAATTCTTGCACAGTGTCTCACATCCACTAGACACACAATGCTTGTTAGCTGCATGGATGAACGAATGGGTGATGGTATGCTGTTATTCAACCTTCAAAAGCAAACAGCCAGAACAGTCAGAATTTGCAACATTTTATTTGGAAAGGAAGTTAATATTATTTTATCTTAATTTTCCATTAAGGCAGTAACATCCCTCTTCTGTGAAGGCAGATGGGGAGAAATCATTGAAGCAATATGAAGTTCAGACTAAAGTCAAAGCCAACCGCTTTCATTCAGATGCTGTGGGAGGACTGGTTGGGAGCTGGAAGAAGGCATTTATTGGTTTCCTGAGTCCACCGCCAAGGGATGGATCCAAGGCCTTGCACTTTAATTGTTTTGGAAGATGCCAAAGTTCCATTACATGCCATCCCTAAGGATCATACTTCAGTAATGAACCCCTCACCATGCAGAAGGAGTCTAAGCTTGGTTCACAACGTTTTGTCTTTTTAGGCTTTGGTAAGTTTTCATGGAAATTGGCATCTATTAGAGCTATTCCAATTCATACTGTTCCTTTGTTTAGAAATTCAGGCAGTTCCTAGCCAGCATTCTATGACATGAGGCTAGGAACGTGTGTATATGGCTGTGTGTGCACGTGAACGAGGCAGAGGGATTGCCTATTGGCACATATTGCCCCTGGGGGCTTTGGGATGGCAAAGAGATTTTGTAGTACCAACACAGTGAACAATGATAACATGGCCTGGAAGCAATCAAATATACTGGTATCTAACAGTGAACGAAACTAAGCAGGGTTGCTTCCAAATGTCACCAGGCGTTTTGCCATACCATGAAAACTACATGTCTAACAAGCAAGGTTAAATACATGGAGACACAGCACCCACAAGGGTAGGTGCTTGGTGATTGCTCCACACTGCCCCTTAGTGGTTTTCTTATTTATTACACCTGCTTTGTATCCCTAGTTTTTCAGGCTGTCAAGGATGCTTGGGATGCCTGGAGCCTGACTGATTTGTCAGATGCCCCAAGTTGCTTACAGACAAGGATGACCGGGGGGGGGGGCAACGGAGCAGGCATAGTTCTGAGGGGCTGGAGAAACTCATAGGGAGACAGACTTGGAGACAGGGACTCAAGAAGCTTGTGACTGTCTGATGTTGGCCTGTGCCAACAGGCTTTATTTAAGACAGGTTTGATGAGCCCTTCAGGTCTTCACTCTGAATAAGCAAAAAGGCATCTAGATCAAACTGGTTTGGAAGATTAATTAAAAAAAATAGGGACACTGCAGTTTTTATCCTTGACAACCAGCAAAAGCAGAAAAGGTATCTGGAAAAGAATTTATTTTCATTATTTTTCTGGTAAAATTTCAAAGAACAAAAAAATCTTTAAGAGATTGGCTCTTCTAGGGGAAAAATAGAGAGAGAAGCATGTTTTGTTAAGTACAAGAGAGGCTACTTGGCTGAACATATATGCACTTTTTGAAATGTATAATGTCTCCAGGTTGAAAACTTTGGAATGGCTCAAACGGTCCTCTGCATCCTGGAGCACCCTGTGGTGGGCACTGAGGATTGAGTGTGCCACCCTCTGGCTTGCTCTTCTGGGCCTTACACCCTCTTCATCCCTTTTCCCATGAGGCAGGCAAAGACTGTCATGACCATTTTGGGGTTCACTTCAACCAGGTCTTCTGGAAGGGCGTATACTCTTGCTCCGATTTTTCGGGCCATAGAGATGGCATATCTGAGAGGGGAAGAGGAAAAATGCAGAGGCTGAGCAGCAGTGGATGACAAGGACCCCTCAGCAGCGTAGGCACAGGGCCCTCAGGACAGGAGCCAGTCACGCCATCTTCCCATGTGTACAGATAAGTCTTGACTGAACATGCTCCTAACAAAGCATCGATCTTGCTGTCTGTTCTCATGACAACTGTCAGACAGTATTTGTCTTTGAAGACCTTCTCAACTCTTACCCAGTTTGTGTGTGTGTGTGTGTGTGTGTGTGTGTGTGTGTGTACAGAATCCAAAGGTCAATACTGGGTATCTTCCTCAAGAACTCTTCAAAGGTCAACACTGGCTATCTTCCTCAAGAACTCTTCACCTTACTTTTTGAGACAGGATCTGTCATAGAACATGGGGCATACTGATTTGGCTAGGCTGGCTGGTTATGAAGTCCCAGGGATCCACCTGTCTCTACTTCCTCAGAACTGAAATTATAGGTGTATACTACTGCACCTGGCTTTTTACATGGGTGCTGGGGATTTGGACTCAATTCCTATGTTTGGTTGTCAGGCACTTGGCTGATTGAGCCACCTCTCCAGACAATGCACCCCCCCACTCCCCAACCCAACACTTTTGATAGCCATAGTAGGAATATTCTCTTGGGTTATAGAGTGTGGAAGAAAAATTTTGAGACATGAGTAAGAATTGATTCTAGGAATGAATATTCTGTAGATTATATTTCAATCATAGAAACATTTTTCCTTTTTGGATTTATTTATTTTTATTTTATGTGTATGAGTAGTTTTCCTACATGTATGTAGCCATGTCATGCAGTGCCTCTGGAGGCCAGAAGAGGACATCAGATCCCCTGGAACTGGAATTAGGGACAGTTAGCTGCCAAATGGGTACTGGGAACCCAAGTCCTCTGCAAGAATAGTCAGTGCTCTTAAACATTGAGTTATCTCCCCAGCTCTAGAAACATTTTATGGGAGGAAAACCACATGTCTTTAGCCTTACACATCAATTCTTTTATTCCTTGATCCATCCCAATGCTTATCATCTGCACATGTATTTATTTCTAGTGTTCTATTAGAATAACCAGAGTTCTATAGTCTATATTTTCACATGAAATTATCATAGCCACATTAGAACTTTAATGCTGATTATAGTTACATAAAGATAATTTTTATTAGCTGTAGTCTATTTTCAAATGAGCCCACACTATTGCCTGCAGTTCTTTATTCCCTCATTTATTGTTCTATGACCTCGTAATGTAGTTACTCCACAGACCCTCTTCCACCCAGGGCCCGATTACTCCCTCCTGTGCTCCTAAAAAATTTCACTCTTACTTTAGTGATCAAATTAAATGAAGGGTACCACCCATTCTTTCTCCTTGCCCACCAGTAACTTCCTCCAGATTAATTATAAATGGAGTAAAATTAGTGTTTCCATTTTAAAACCCAAAGGAAAAGTTACATAAAAATCCATGAGTGTCAAAAAACCCCAAAAACATCCCACACAATTTTGTCTCAGAAGCATAACCATTGGTATTTTGTGCAACTTTTTCAACCTTTCCTTTCATACTGTGTGTGTGTGTGTGTGTGTGTGTGTGTGTGTGTGTGTGTGTGTGTGTGTGTGTGTGTGTGTGTGTGTGTGTATGTATTCAGGTGCTGTCCACCATTTTTGTTGTTTGTTTTCTTTTTGTTTTTGTTTCTCAAGAGCCTAGAGCTCACCAAGTTGGTTAGAGTAGCTGGCCAGTGAGCTCCACCTGTGCCTCCCTAGCACTGGAATTACAAGCTCAGGCCACAAGCCCGGCTTTGCTTACAAAGGCATGCACTTTATTGATTAAATTATCTCCCCTACCCCTTTTCTTTAAAAGAGTTTTGTTGTTTTTTAGTGCTGGAGATCAAACCCAGGGCTTCTTATATATTAGATGAGTGCTCTACTGCTGACCCCGTCCCCAGCCCTGAGCTAGTTTTAGAGAATTTTGTATCTTGTCCTTGAAGGAGGAGAATGCATAAGAGCCTGGTCTCTGAAGTCAGACTCTGAACCTCAGCTGTGCAGCTTAAAAATCGCATGACCTTGGCAAATTCCTTAAACCTAATCTTAGGGCTCATGACTAGCTAGTTTCAAGGCTTTCTTTTTTCTTCTTCTTTTTTTCACATGTATTCTTTTATTTCTAATGTCTTCTTATCTGTTCTTTCAGGTAAGCTCAACTTAGATATCATTTGCTCTAAAGAGCTCCTTTCTGTCCCACCCCTGCACCCTTGTGTTCCCCTTTCCATACTTCATCATTATAATCATCATTTAACTCTAACACCTCTTCATTGGATCATGCTGAACATCATCATATTGGGAACACAGCTCCCCACTTTCCAAAACTGATAACAGAAAAAGGGCACTGCTGGGATTATCGTGCATGGATACTGTGAACTCTAGACTTGTATAAGGGGTTCGGGTGTACCCCTTTTCCCAAAAAGGTATGGCAAGATCCTAACCTCCAGTACCTTTGATTGTGACCTTAATCGGAAACACAGTTGTTGCAGATGTCATAAATTGAGGTTATGCTCCAGGAGCGTGGGACCCTAATCCAACATGATCCATGTCCATGTAAGAAGAAAGAAGACTCTGAGGGGAAGGCAGCCACATGAAGCCATAGGTATTCAGGGGGTGGAGACAGATTAGACTTCTATAAGCCATTGAGTTGTTACTGGCATCAAAAAAGCCAGGAGAGAGGCATGAGAGAGTCTCCCTCAGAGTTCTTGTGATCAACCAGCCCGGTTGGCAACTTCATTTCTAGTTTCTATGATGATGAAACAATACACTTCTGTTGTTTAAAATTACCCAGTTTGTGTGGTACTTTATCATGATATCCCTGAGGAATTAATATGACCTGATCCAAGAAAGATGCCTCTGTAGAGCAATGATTGGTAAACTTTCTGTAAAAGGCCAACAGGATCACTTCTGGGCCTGTTGGCTAAAGCGCTAGTGACATGCAGTCAGTAAGTATTTTAGGTTTTGCAGGATTGTTGCAACTTCCAAGCTCTACTATTGAAACAGGGATGCTCCTATGTAAATGACTGTATTGTACTTCAAGAAAACTTTACTTATAAATTCAGGCAACAGGCTAGATTTGGAGATAGTCTGCTGGCTCCTGTTCTAAAGGACTCATTTGCCAGGACAGATAAACCACAGTCCCATTGCTAGAGAAGTCCCTGGTATTTAACTTTATCCCTGTCTACGTACATCTGGATATTCACAAATGGGATGGCTACATTTGGAATTTTCCAAATTTTACTTTGGAAATCTATAGATTAGGAGATTAGGATTAGGAAACTTTAAAAAAAATAAAACTATAGCCTTGCAATTACAAGAATATTCTAGTTTTTGTTTTGCTCAAGTCAACCCTAAACTGCTACTGCACCACATCTAAAATGATGACGTGACTACAATAAATCATGAGAAGAAAAATCAGGAAGAGTAAAAAGAAAGTGTTTGCACTAAATACAAGTGTCTGATGTCACAACCACTCAGTTGGCAGCTGTGTCCCCCTCCTGACTCCAGGGTTATTTACATACTTTGCATTGTTGAGTTTCTCTTCATCATCCAGGTTTTCTGTCTTCAGAAGGTCATAATTAATGGAACCTGGTTGAATGGCATCAATGAGGTCCAGAACCGGAAGGCTGGTACTAATCTTTGGGTCCTATGTAGAGAGAAAGGGAGGGTTTATCAACACATCCAAAAGTTACTTCCATCTGGCTCAAGGGAAGTGGGTTCTTTGTTCTTAAATATAAAATAGACATGGTCTGGTCTGGTCACAGCATTCTACACAGTCTTTCAAACTGGGGGTAGTTTTTGCAGGAGTATCATGAATGTCCCAGAAAGCAGATACCTTCTTGAATAGAAAGGAGTTAGCACACCAGGGAAAAACATGAAGATTGAACTATGCTTCAACTACTGGACATGCAGGAATATAGTAGAGAAAGGAATGATTGGAAATAGAATCTATCAGAAGACAAGACTAAAGGTATCAGAAAAATCCTCCTTTGTGTAGGAGGCACACCCTAGAGTGGGCAAGTGGCCGGGTGCTGGTGAGGGTGCAGGTAGACTGGGTAACAGTAAGTGCCCCTTCTCTGAAGACCTCAGGGAAAGAGAACAGTGGTTTCCAGGGAGACGGCAACAGCAATAATATGATTAATACAAAGACAGTAACTGACATTTGCTGGTGTCTCACACTTGCCCAACACTGCCTCTTCTTGTCACAAGCCTTAGGAGTAGCATCTAATTTTTTCCCCCTTTTTAGCTTAAACTTTTGAAGTTTTTAATTGACACACAGAATTTTATGAATTCATCATGTAAGCATATTGTTTTGAACTGTATGTATATAGTGAGTGGTTACATCTACCTAACAAAAGTATTATCTCACAGAGCTGTCATTTTTGTGGTGGGGTGTTTAATATTGTACGTGCTAGGGATCGACCTGAGGATCTCACATAGGCTAGCAGATGCTGTACCACTGTATTAAACCTTCAGCTTCCATCCTTAATCTTTATTTATGGAGAAGAAGAAATTTCTGAGGTTAAATTAATTGCTGGGAAGTGGTAGAGCTGGAATTTGAACCTGAAATTCTGGCTTAACACCCTGGGCCTTTGTAATTGTTTGGCTGCTCACGCATGGATTATCACTCATGGTTTACCAAGCCTCATCCCCACAAGGACACCCAGGCCACCATGTGGGATTAGTGCTCTGGGGTGGCAACTGCTTTCCAAGGAGAGGTACCTGTGACTGTGCGGTTCATAGCAATGGTTAAGTGACCTACCCACACACTGCTCCAGGTAAAGGTTTTTCCCGCCATTTATGGAACATCACCTGCACTTATTATCTGTGACCTCAGAGAGTTATTTGAACTTTAGTTTCCTCACCTATGAAATAAGGAAAATAGCAAAGCTATTTTCCACATATAAAGATGAACCTAGGAGCCAAAGGCCCTAGACTCAGGGCAACAATATTCAGGGCTCCACTGACTCCACTCTTCTCCACTGCCTTCCCAAGCATCTTTCTTGGAAAATCTGCTCACTTCAGTCACCAGCCTCCTCTCTTGACTGTGCTCAGCAGCAAACCAGACTAAAACCAGGCTTGAGATGGGTTGGGGGTGGCACGATGCCCTTATGAGCTCACAGCAGGCAGTGCTCCAGGTGCCGCCCACCCAGCTCCGACTCTGCCCTTCCTGGTGAGAAGGTACTTTAATTTCTCATTTTGAATTAGAGGACTGACAGTGTGATGAACTGCCACACTGATGGGGGCTGAGGAGGTTCCCCCCATTCCTGACCTTTAAACTAGAAGAACACAGTCAAAGTGTATTGACATTATTACAGTATGGATTGAGTGGCAGGTCCTCTTAGGAAGACTCCTGCTAATGTGTAAGCGAATTAATACATTTTGTAATATACAATGGTATTATTAATAAAAATAGGATTTAGATGAAAGTACACAATTGGGTTTTTTTTCCCCAAAAAATATCACATGGGAGATCTTTTTTTAGCATTTTCATTTTACCATTGTAATGTTAAAAACTCTGAGCCTTCAAAGTGTGCACATATTAAAAATATATTGCTGTATTTTATACTACTTTGAAAGAACAGGGCCTAAAATGAGGTGCTAAAAATAATACATTTTAAAATTGTTACAAGAAGAGTGATGAGAAATTTGTCAGTGAAATGACCATGAATATTAGTATAATTGTGGATCATGTAAGAAAATACAAAGGGGAGCCTCAAGTTGGTAACGCTGAAGGTCATTTAGCATATAATGAAAGCAGTGAGGACAAGCCAAGTGCTCGGCTGGCCTGAAACAGAAGAGGGAAACTTACCTTGAAGCTAGAGATGGATGAACTTTTCCTTGCCTCCTTCAATGTTTCATTCACCCAGCTGACAATAATGTCATCATTGACCTTCTGCCCACCACCAATTTCTTCCAGGATATTCAGTGTGTACCTGAACAAATCAAGGATGATTTCTTAAAAGGAATTGCTATGGAATCTTTTCTTTCTAGATACATCATAGAAGATAGTCTGAACAGTTACTTTGGAGGGAAAAAGAGTATTTAATAACATTGGCTCCTTTTAGAATAACTTAAAATGGGGTCTGGAGAGTTGGCTCAGTGGTTAAGGGCATTGGCTGCTCTTGCAGGGCACCTTGGTTCAATTCCAGCATCCACACAATGGCTAACAAACGTCTGTAACTCCAGTTCCAGGAGATCCGATGCCCTGTTCTGACCTCCAAGGGCATTGCATGACATAGATGCACTTAACATACATGCTGGCAATATTCTCATATACATACAATAAAAATAATAAATAAAATATATTTTGAAAATAATAACTTAAAATGTAAACATAAGGTTGCTATAATAAAATACAAAGCAAACACTGTTCTTACTCAGAGAGAGAAGAGCAAGCAGAAAAGTAGAAATGTATGGAAAGAAAAACTATGCAAAGGATTCATCTAATGATGCTATTCCTAAGGGAACCATCAAAACTAAAGAACAAAGGCCAGCAAGACCACTCAGCAGGGAAGAGTGCTTGCCACAGAAGTCAGAGAATCCAAGTTCAAACCTCACAACTCATGTAAAGGTGGAAAGTGAGAATCTACTCCACAAAGTTGTCATCTGGTCTCCTCATTCACGAGGTGGGATGTGATGCCCCTCCCCCAATAGTAATAAATAACATTAAAAATATTTAATAATTAAGAAACAACTAAATGTTAGAAAAGTTCCAGCAATGAATAGTTTGAAGGGGAAATATAGAGTAATTTCCCTTATATCAATGAGATGCCTGGAATTTACTGACAAAGGCAATCTTAGCCTGAGGGCAAGAATCTTCTTGGATGCACAGTGGTTTTAGAATTGGTGTTTTTTAGGGGAGAATGTTTATTTTAAGAAGATGCATCAGGCCCTTAAAATCCTATAGCAAAGAGTAGAATCATCATTCCCTAAAGCCATTTCCTCAGGGACAGGAGGAAAGCCATGCAGGTGAGTCACACACAGGACTCAGTCCTATGACTTATCAAAGACCTCTTCTCAAATTGAAACTCAGGAAGCCTGTAATCGACCCTCATCTGGGAGGGCTTGCCTAAGTGAGGGCACCATCCTGGGACCTTGCTTACGTCATCCATCAGGTATCGTGCTCCAGTTACTGCTTCAACACAGAGCACAATTCTTCCACAGTCGCCCACATGGGTTTCAAGTTTAATCGCTGGAATGAGGGTGGTGCCTGGTTTCTGCTGATTAAAGCAGCTTCCCATCTACGCTTGCTAGCTAGGATACCCTTTGCTTTGTGTGAATTTCTAATCCTTCCAACACCTCAAAGGAAAGCTCAAGCATCACTTTCCCAAACCGTGCAGTGTATTAATTATTGCACTTGATTCAAACCTTTTTCTTAGTACTTTTAACAGAGACAATATCTATCTTGTTCCCATGGAGACAGGGTCCATGTACTCTGAGCCTCATGCTCTTTTCAGGGATCGGCAGAGTCCCTAGTGCATGTTGGGCAGCTAGTAAATGAAAGTGGAGACTGGTTAGTAAAATAGGTGGCATGAAGGTAAGGAAAGGGCTAGATAAGAAATACTTGTTTGGACTGAAAAATGGAACCAAAATGCTAGGAAATAAGGACCACACAGGATTTAACTCCCAGGTGGATTTTCAAAATATTCCTAGTTTGAAGAAAACCCTGCCTTTGATTGGCTCATAAAGATGGTGTATTACATTACAGCATAACTGGTCTCTTATGTCCTGATATCTAGCATAGACATTCATTTATCTGCATTTAGCATAACATTTAAGAATTTCTGAACTTCAGTAAGAAATGGCATGTCAGTAATCACCTCATTAAGTCTCTCTTTATATAGGGGAACAAACTCACTCCCCTTCTCAGGAGCCCAACCCTACTTTGCTGACAAGCTCAAGGAAACAGAAGCTGAGATTTCCACCATTCTCTAGACCTTGGGAATTAAATGCTGCAGAAGAGAAGCCAAATTTTCTTCAAAGGCCTGTCTATGAAAATGAAAACCCACTAAGGAACAAAGCATCTCGCAGGGGCGTGGGACATTGTGGAGGCAGTTTCAGGCATTCTGGGTTTTAAGGACAGTCCTTCACGGGGGCATAGAGTTCTGTTGATCACAAAGCAGTCATGCTGCCACCTCTAGTGGGATACTGAGGCCTAATGGAATAAGACACCAACTGTAGGTACAAAGAGATCAACAAAGAAAGACTAAAATTGGGCTGTAGTGTCAAGTCGATAATCCAGGAGGAATGCTCCTGTAGATACATCTCTCCTGGAGAGATGGTTCAGTGGTTAAGAGCATTAACTGCTTTTGCAGAGGACCTGAGTTCTGTTCCCAGGACCCACATGAGGGCAGGGGACTCACAACTGCCTGTAACTCCAGCTCCAGGAGATCTGATGCCCTCTTCTGGTCTCCACAGGCACCTGCACTCATGTGCACATATTCCCACATAGACACACAGACACACACAGACACACATAGACACACACACACACACACACACACACACACACACACTTTACAAAGCTAATTTGGCCTATGTCTACTTAGATTTTTCTATTGTGAGATCATTACCCCTTATGATGGCATGAATTTGGGGTGTTCTTTGCAGGAACTTTGCTGACAAGTTCTCAGTGTTGTTAGTGCTTGTAAAATATGCCAGAGTGAAAAGCCCTTTGCCCAGATGAAAGAGGATTGAGAACTCCAGGTCCAACCAGTTCCTCACTCAACAAAAGAGGATTGCTGTGTAGCTGTGAGAGGCCAGGGAAGATGGGATTATTGCCTGCTAGTTTCCTGCCTCCTGGCACTCATTTTATTTACTTAACACTTGACACAGAGGGACAAACCTTGGTGCTACTGTCCTCAGCCTGCATGACTGTATGGAATTTCCTTACTTGCCTATCTGGAGTCTGCTGTCTGGCTTCTCTAACTTTCACTGCAGTCTGCTGGCAGCCTATCTGTTTCAAGCTTTTGTCTCCAAATTTGCAAATATACTGTTCGCCAGTTGTCCAACCTGAGAATGATTTCTATACTACTGAAGGGGAAAAGGTAGGTTTAAGCATACATCTCACATTTGTTCTTGGGGCAAAAATGACGTGCCATTTATTGTCCAGATAAATGACCAAATTAGCACATCTGTGCAATCCGATGAAAAAAATTCCATCTAGAACTGGATGTAAATTGAATAGATCTGTTAATATGTGGCATGCAGAGAAAAAAGAAAGGAAAACAAAGTAAAAAAATCCCTTCTGGCACCATTTGCATAATTACCAATCTTTTTTTCTCCTTCAGTAGTAATGTATTTCTCTGTTCACTTTCTTGCATGCACAAATCCTGGGTAGTAAACATTTATGAGACTTGTGACTTACTGTTCAAGTGAAGTCAGCTGCAGTAGCAGACAGGCCTTACCATGGATATAAACCAGCCCTCTAGGAAGGCTTACATTTTAATAAAACTTCTGAGACAGGCAAGCATAGCAAATAGCAATAATGCACATGGCAGCCTATGAGCCTTACCTGTATGCACTATACACATACACTCCACACAAAGCATCTAGTAACCTCTGTAATCCAGGACCCCACCTGCAGTGAGCTGCATGCATACCCCTCCTGAACAATGGAATAACTTTCTGCCCATCACCAGTGACTATCAAATATTGACAAATTCAATCCAGCTGTACTCCCTCATGTTTGTGTAGGAGCGTAGGAGAGATGAACTGGCCTAGAATGGATCTGGGTGTATGTACAGTAAGGAAAACCGTCCTCTCGGTGAACTTCTAGGGAGAGTCCCCTGTTTACCTTCTTATAGCTATACATAATTGGTCATGCATATGATTACAATCAGATGCACTATGGGAAGGGTCATGGACAGTAAAGAAAAAGTTAAATAACTTAAATCTGTCAATCAAAATAGAGAACTACCCAAATTATGTTCCTAGTCATCAAACTCCATCTCTTGAACCCCATGTAAGGTAACCCCAAATTACAACTGGGGCCTTTGTGCACCCCATACATGTGGCCCTGTGTCACTCTCAGTGGTGTATTTGTTTCTGATCTGTACTATTGTTCACTTCTGAATAAAGTTTCTCTGTTACTTTTGTAATCTCTGTGAGCCTATATTTCAGTTTCTTGAATAAGAGACCAAAAATTTAGAAATACTTGACCCCAACTCCTACCACCAGTAACACCTCCAGAACAACAATCATATTACAGAATGTTTGTTAGATATGATGAAATTTATGACAGAATAGAATTTGCTTGAGTTTACTTATCATTAAATTAGAATATATGAAGTTCATTCTATATTGCAACCCATCAGTGAATTTAAGTATTACAACTAAAAGGATATTTTTTCCTTTATTATTTATTATTGATTTATTTATTTATCTATCTATTTATTTATTTTATGTGTACGAGTGTTAAACCTGCATGTGTGTAAGTGCCCCCATGTTGTGCAGTGCCCATGGAGAACAGAAGAGGGCATCAGATCCCCTGGAACTGGAGTTACAGACAGGTGTTAGCAGCTATGTGGGTGCTGGAATTCGAACCCAGGTCTTCTGCAAGAACAGCCAGTACTCTTAACCACTGAGCCATCTCTCTAGCCCCTCCTTTGTTTTTAAAGCAATCAGTACCCAGAGCCAATCTGTTTAGAATTCAAAACATACGTGAAAGATATTGAAGCTAGTTTAGACATAGTTTCTGGAGCTATGTTTTGGTGTGACAAGCACTTGGGAACTTTCAGTCAGGTGTGTTCAACTTGTGGCCTGTGGACAGCATGTGGCAGAGGATAGCCATGAATACAGCTCAACACAAAATCATAAACCTACTTAAAACATTGGAGCTGCTTTTGTGATTTTTTTCATAACTCAGTTGCATGGTTCTTGAGCATGAACTCTGCAGATGATAATGCTGTGTCACCATGTCAAAAGGTTAGACATACCTGCTGTGATTCAAATGTGAAATGTCCCCCATGGGCTCTTGTGTTTGACCACTTGGTCCCAAGTTAGTGGTGCTTTTTAGGAAGATTATGAAACTTTTGGGAGGTGGAAGGGATGGATCCCTGGGAGTGAGCCTTGAAACTTTATAGCCTGGCCTCACTTCCTGTTCACCTCTGCTCCCTAAGTACAGATCAGCTACCTTCCTGCCCCTACCACTGTGCCTTCTCTGACATGATGGGCTGTATCCTCCTGGAACTTTGAGCCCAAATAAACCCTTCCTCCCCTGCTTTTGTCAGGGTATTCTATTTGGCTTCCAAGCATATGCAACATTCTCTACTAAAAAAACTTCGATAGAGATAAACTTTAAGGTTCTCTATTAAAAGGCTGTGCGTTTCCTGCCAGGATAAGGTAAGAGGTTGTTCAGACTTGGTCAAAAGGAAGTTAGAATAGTGACCCTTGAAAAGGTAACAAGGAAGGTGAGTCCTAAGCTTGCCCAGCGTAGACAAGATTCCAGGCTGTGTGCTGAGAGAAAACCCTAACAGAACACCGCTGTGCCCATGCACTGAGGTGACAGGGTTTAGAACTCAAGGAAGCCAAGGAGCCTAGGCATTATGGAGCAGAATATTAGATAAGCGAGAACTGCATGGAGAGGGAAGTGTGACATAGAAAGCAAGCCCAGAGATCCTCAGGATGGTTTCCTACAAGTTTTAGCTGTGAGTGCTTTCTGTGAGGAAACAACCAGAGGCGGGGGAAGGACAGCCAGAGCAACCCTTGGAGCTTACACAGGGCTTGAGATTATTTGGTTCCCACTAGCTGGAGGGGAAAAATTTCCTAATACATGACGCATCAGGTAAAATACTCAAATTACTACGTCAGTGCAAAGAAGCAAAGTGAACTCTAGAGGAATAAACTTAAAGTAAGCCTCAAAAGGTTTAAACTGGGTTTAAGTAGCTGAACTCCATTCCAGAACAGAATCCACAAATACTTTAAGGAATATGGAGATATCAAATTCCAGCAAGGTAAAATTCATGATGTCTGGCATATAATAAAAACTAACAACATATAAAGAAATAAGAAGATAGGACTCATATTGAAGATAAAAATGAATCAGTAGAAACAGACCAGAGGTAGCAATCACTATAATTATAGTTCATATGTTCAAGAAGGTAGATGAACGAAGAGAGATGCAAAAATGTAAAGAAGATTCAAAATTTCTGGATCTGGACATTGTAATATAGAGATAAAAATACTATAAATATATAACTATACATTCAACAGTGGTAAGGAAGCATAAGACAGATACAGAGAGAAAGAGATTAGTGAGTTTGAAGACATAGCACCCTATATCTTAGAAAATGAAACGAAATAAAAAAATAAACAGAATCTTCAAAAGACTAATATACATGAACTTGAGGTTCCCCAAAACAAGGGGTGTGGGTGGATTCAGAAGAAACACTTGAAGAAATTGTAAATAAAAAGTTTCCCAAATTTGATGTAAAGTTTAAACCCACATATCCAATAAATTCAAAGACCCTCAAAAATAAACAGCTATGCACATCATACATAATCAAATTACTTTAGCAATAAAGAGAAATCATTGAAAGTAGCTAGAAGAAAAACAGAAACATATTAAAAGAAAAGAATGACAACAGATTTTTATTGTGTTGTAAACAATGTAGAGAAGAAGACAGTGAAAACTTATTTCCAAAGTACTGAAAGAAAAAAATTATTAGCTTAGATGCTATATCAGAAAAAATGCCTTTCAAATTTAAAATGAAATTGAGACTTTTTTTCTGACATACAGAAACTGAAATAGTTCATTATCAACAGAACTATACTATGAGAAATATTTCAGATACAAGGCATATGATATTAGGTAGAAATTAAAACCTTTGTGAAAGGCAATTCACTGTTCTTGAACCAGATATGTTAAAAGTAAAAGCATGGAAGGCTGTGCCGTGGTAAAGACCAGTCAAGAGAAAATAGTAGTGGCTATAGCAATGTCAGAAAAGGTAAATTTCAGGAAAAAAAGGTCATTCCTTTTCAGGCATAAAGGTCATTCCATAAGGACAAAAATGTGATTCATTCAGATAAAACAATAATCTAAAATGCTTATGACCCAGTAACAGGTTTCACAGTAATTTATACAAAACTGATAAAAAATGGAAAGAAAAAAGTAGCAGGAAAACAGGAAGTACTTCCTTAGTTTCTAAATTTATCTTGATATAGGTTTGCTGAATTAAATCACATTCTAGCATTTTTCTATTACATCTCTAGATGAACAATCCATTGTCTAGATTCACCCTAGGCATTACCTTCTCATTAGCTGCCAAATCAAGGCTAACGTCAGAGTGCGGTTTCCTTCGTTGAGATCCTGTCCGCCAATGCCAACCAAGGAGAATTTAGCTTGATTCTTCCCCAGTTCCACTGCATAATTACAGTTCTCAAGCTGTTAGTGAGGCAGAAAGGAAACAACTTAATGCCATCTCCTTGGTTATAGGAAATGTCAAATAAAATGATAAAAATAAAGATACAGAGATCTGCCTGCCTCTGCCTCCCGAGTGCTGGGACTAAAAGCGTGCACCACCACAACTGGCTAATCTCTGTGAGTTCAAGGCCAGCCTGGTCTACACAGTGAGTTCCAGGACAGCTGGGGCTACAGGGAGACCCTGTCTCAAAGAGACCAAAAAAAAAGATACAAAATGAAGCAAATAATATCAAATCTGAATAAGCTCAGATATCCACTGGTTCTCCAATACTATGATTCCACACTAGCTAAAGAAATTTCCATCTTTCCCTAAATAGAATTCCTAGTTCCACCCCAAATATCCACAGTGAACTCGTAAGTTCAAAACTAGAAGACATTTATTGTTATGAGAATTTTCATAGATAGTCACACTATACAGAGAGCCATCCTCTGTTTACCTGTAAGATTTTTAAAATAACTGAATTTGCCGGATGTGGTGGTGCATGCCTTTAATTCCAGGACTCGGGAGACAGAGACAGAACTCTGTGAGATCAAGGCTAGCCTGGTCTGCATAGTGAGTTCCAAGCCAGCTGGGGCTACAGGGAGACCCTGTCTCAAAAGCACTTCAATAAGATACTGAATTTTCATAGATAGATGAACAGGATTTTATATTCTCCATCCAATGTACACATGGTGGGTAGACATGCAGGGCAGGTATTTCTGTAGCTACTCACAGATCATTAAGACTCACAGAGTGCCAGCAAGATGGCTCAGTGGGTAAAGGAACTTGCTACCAAGCCTGATAACCTGAGTTTGATTCCCTGAACCTTCCACATGGTAGAAAGAGAGAAATGGCTCCTGTCCTCTGATCTACACACACACACACACACACACACACACACGTAAATGTAAAAAAAAATAACAGAGATGAAACTTATTCCAAAATAATGTTCCTACTGTATAATCTTAAATTAGAATTTTTTCAGGATAATGTTTAAAGACATCCATCGTGAAATTATAAATAAGCCATCAACTGCAATAATGGATTCACTTTAATGAAACCATTCAGGTTTCTGATGGCTGTACTATCATTTAATCCCTGGCAAACATTATCGATATTTGGCCACCTGGTAGAGTGCTTACAAAGAACAAGTTTATGGGTCTACCTGCCTCATGGCACATCAGAGAAGTCATTGTTTACCTTCTTCATATTACCTCCCAGCTTGGGGTATGGAGGTTTGTTTACTCTGTTCCAGTCGACAGGGACTTTGATCTTTTCATAGAGCTGGAAGATGACCAGGGCATCCGATAAGTCACTAAACAAAACAAACACAAAAGAATTCTCAGGTATTCAACATTTCACTCAGGGACCATGGTGGGTTAGGTGCTTCCTGAATCTTAGCTCCAGCAGCATTCCCAGTAACCCCGAAAAATTGGTAGGAATAGTGCCATCTTTAAAGGAGTGATGATCATGACTCAGAGAAATAGAAATTCAGTCTCCCATGTGACTGCCTCTGTCCCTCAGACAGAAAGGAGACACGGCTTTAACAGCGGCACAAGAGACGCTTGACTACAAACTTAACACTTACTGTTTAGGATGCTCCTGAGACGACCACAGGTTTATTACAAACAATGTTTGTCACTTTGCTGAGGTATAATTTTTGTACTAAATGCAGTGATATTTGCTCACAGGAGTGTTTTTCAGCTGAGCAGGTCACCGTGACGCTCCTCTCCTACCCCATCAAGGCACACATACTTTGGGGAAGAGAATGTGCACCATAGTGGTGTGTGAAGGTATCCTATGCTCACTAGAGGCTTCTGTGTCTCACACTCAGGATGAGCTCTCATCTCCTCATACCTGTACAAATGATTGACTCGAGGGTTAACGCCCAGGGAGTTCATCCAGTTCCTAAAGGTCCGCTCTTCTCTCGTCTCACCTAGATTAAGCAGGATTAGTTATTTTTGTGCCCTTACAACAAGTCTTGCTTATGATCTAAGTTTAACTATGGAGGATGCAATAAAAATGAAGTGAAGAATAACACAGACCCTACTGGATAGGGGCTGCTATTCTGCTGTGATTTTTCCCCTCATTTCATTTCTACAAGTATTTTTATAACATCTATTATTGATGGTCAAGATCCTGTGTGGGGAGACTGTTCAGAGTTAGCCCTAAAGATTAACATTCTTGTTAAGAAAACAAGATTTGAGTCAGCAAACAGGAACCACACAAGCCAGTTGGATGAATAGAGGAGACAGAAACATTTGCTATACCAGCTGAGACAGAGGTAAGAATAATATGGCCCAAATTTGGAAGTGTGGAATTTGAAACTTCACTTTCTGGGGTCAGGAAAAGCTGAACGGGAATGAGGACAAAGTAAAGGATTGGGGGGCGGTGAGAAGAGGTAGGAGCAGCAATAGCATAAACATGGGCACGGAGGGAGCAACAGGCAAAGTCTCCACTAGAACACTAAGAACTGATCTGTCAGGATCCATGCAGTATAGCACAGAGATAAGAGTGTCTAGAGCTGCAACAAGGGCTGGGAATCTTGGAATGCCAGGTAGCAGATTTGGGTTGATGTATTAGACAATGTCAGCCATGCTTTTGTTTTATTAATATAATAAATTCTAGGGCAAGACAGAGATAGAATGGAAGCTACATCAGATGTGCCTGGCAGCAGTGTGAAGGATTACTGAAAGGGGTTATCATTTAGATTAAATATACAGAAGGGACATTTGGCATTAGTATTTGGCACTAGCATGTGGGGCAATTCAATTGTTTGATGAATGGATAAGTTAGCCCCTAAGACCTGTGAAAATAATTGGTGTGTGAGGCAATATGGGTCCAGAAGAGCAGAAAGGGAAAATATGAAATCTAGAAGACATTCCAAATGAATTACTGGTATTTGTTGATAAAATAGATTCAGAGTAAAGGAAAGTTATTATAGTAAACACAGGGCTGTTAGCTTTGGTGATTCAAAAGAAGAAACCCAAATCAAATGGTATGATGACAGGAAATGAAAATTACAAAAAGGAAGAAATGGGACAGGGAGTGGGGAAGGCAATGGGGAGGCAGGAGAAGAAGATCAGGAAACACGTCTGGAACACATCTGAACATGTCTGGAGCTGGAAGACTCTGAGCTGACTAAAGTTATATGACATTTGCTCAATGTTAGGGAGCTGGAAGACTCTGAGCTGACTAAAGTTATATGACATTTGCTCAATGTTAGGGAGTTAATTTATAAAATACAGTTGTCAGGATTCTGCCTCAAAAGACTTTATTGTGTCTTAATAACCCAAATAAAGAAACAAAATAGAAGTGAAAATTTCAGCAATAACATCCTAGTACAAATTAAGTATCACTTTAGATGGAGAGTGATGGTCATTTCTTGCCTCTTGGAATTAGCACAGTCCATCAAATATACAAATTAGGTCTGGGAGTGCTTGGAATTTATTTCATTTGATATTAAGGACATTGTCTTCCACAAAACATTTTATTCTGATAATGGATGAAGCCTGTGCATAATGGATGTGAAATAATCATATTTGATTATTTTTACTACTTGGCTGTAATTGACTTGATTAATTCATTCTATTTGTTGTACATTGGAGAATTGATGGGCTATTTGTGTGACAGGTCTGTATTTCCTTAAGGGATGATTTTGAACTGCTGTTGAAATAATTGTGAGCATTTTCTGAACATCTTAAGCAACCATATCACAGTTACCTTCGAGAGCACCCCAGTCGATGTCCTGGTTCTCTGGTTTGTGCAAGGCAGGGTATTTGTTAAAGAGATTGGCAATGAAAGCCAGGTTCAACTTGGGGTTCCCTCGGACAACATCTGTGGCTGTGACAAACTGCCGACAGCCCAACCTCTCTGCCTGCTGCAGCATGCATTCTGCCCTCTGGATGTCATCCTTCTCCTGCAAAAAAAAAAAAAAGGGAGGAAAGAAGGGAAGTCAAGCAAACACATTTAGGAGTGTATAACAAAAAAAAAAAAAAAGGGAGGAAAGAAGGGAAGTCAAGCAAACACATTTAGGAGTGTATAACAAAAAAAAAAAAAAAGGGAGGAAAGAAGGGAAGTCAAGCAAACACATTTAGGAGTGTATAACAAAAAAAAAAAAAAAGGGTGACAGGAATCGAGGTCAAGGATTCACACATATGTGGACATGTATAACATGAAAAAGAAATGGGGTCCCACTGATGCCTGGTGCCTAGCGCAGGTAGATATTTAGCAGGACCCGAATCATGATGTCACGGGGAGATAACTGAGAGCCCCCCCCATCATTACATAGAGCAAGTTCAGATGAACCTCCAGGTGCCCTGTTTCAAAGAAATTCTGTAGTCTGACATCTTACCATTTACATTAATATAAAGCATTTTTAGTCATTAAGCTTCCTTATTATTACAGTTTTTCACAGACTTCATGAGATTTTGGTCTATCGAAACACTTTACTTTCCAATTATTAATTCATAAAAGACATCTATGGTTGTCAATAAGAACATCTGATTTGTACAATCACTTTTCCCATGTGGAGTTGGCATATTTACAATCTGAACAAAATAAGTATTGGTTAGTTGGTATTTGTATATACGTCGTGCCCACTTGGCTTTTGCAAACTTCAGATTGAGTACCACTCTGCATGCTCAAGTGATTTTTGACAATTTCCAGTCATTTGTGAACAGACTCTTAAAACAAGACTAAAATTTTGTGAGATTATGATCCACTCTTCATAAAGCCCATGAAACCACCAGTTCTCATGAAAACACAGCTTTAAATTAGAATTCTTTCTCAAGTTGATGCTGTGGTAGGTAACACCGCGCATTTTGTGAGTGTTATCTCTCACTTAGTTTCACTTTTTCTTCAGGGATTAATTAACTCAATATTAACTCATTAGATTTAATACCAACAGTATTAAATGAGGCACATTAATGGACAAGGGAATTTGTGAAGATCAGTATTAAAAGTGGTGGCAAAACTGAAGAATGTGGGCTTCAGTTCAGTGGTAGAGGGGTCGTCTGTGTGTGTGAAGCCCAGGGCTCCCTCCCCAGCACTGCAAAATACAAACAAATAGAAATAAAACAACAAAAGCCCAACAACAAGCCCTGAAGAATAGTCTCTTGACCTGGTCATTGCCCGATGCAGAAGTTAGTGGTTATTATCTGTCAATTGAAAATTAACATAATGCTAAGTGAAAAAGAGCTGAGTTTACCATTTGGACCCAGGTTGGTGTTGTAGAACCTTTGAAGTGTGTGTGTGTGGGGGGGCGTTATATAAAGAAGTACCTTGTGTGGTGCATGGCATTTAATTAATATTCATTTCTTTCTCTAGTGTTTTACATCTATATTCAGTTTTCCACAATTATTATCAAAAACTGTTATCAGTGTTCAGTGGTTAAACAGGAGCTTAAGCAGAATAGGGGCTCATGTGGCACAAAGGACCAGTCAACGCCAAGACAGCATCATGCTCTCTGAAGACAGCTGGGAAGGTGGCCTTACCCGTAGTCCTGACATGTCAATAACAACAGCAGGTATACCTTCCTCATCGCCTTTTGGAGCCACCTGCTCAAGCAGGTGGTAATAAGCTTTTGAGTCCTGTGGAAGATTAAGAAGATACAATTTCAAAACAAAGGAGCTAATTGCACACTTAACATGACAGTCATTTTCTAAAAACAAACATTTTCTCATTCCTCTAACATTCAAGAATATAACACTAACAAAGCTAGAAACATTCACTAATTAGACTATGCAATTTGTCTAGTTGCATATTGTATTTGTTTTCTTTTCAAAGGCATCTAATCATTTAAAAAGTACAGTAGATATATAAAAGATAACACAAAGAAGCAGTTATGATTCTGTTGTTTTTAGGAGAAACAAAACTTATTTATACATTAAATTGTATACAGGAAAATATACATATACCTTTATGTTGCTGTAGAAGTCAGTCAGCTAAGGTTTAATTTAAAAAAAGTGACAGAAAAAGGAAGCAGAAGTTTAAAGCAGAGTTAAAAATACATTCAAATGGACAATTAGCAAAAGAAAAAGATTTCAAAGACAGAAGGCTGAGGTATTAGCAAGGAGTCATGTTTTTGTCATTTTTAAAAATTACATTTTATTTATTTGTGTGAGCAGGGGGTTGGGGCATGCATGGGAGGTCAGAGGAGACAACTTCAGTTCTTTCTTAATGTATGGGTCCTGGGGACTGAACCCAGGCCCTTGGGCTCAGTAGCAAGCACCCTTGCCTGCTGAGCCATCTCACTGAACTTATTTTTTTGAGACACAGTTACACTGTTACATTGTTTCCTAGACTGGCTGGCCTTGAACTCTTTGTCTTTCTGCCTCAGCCTCCCAAGTTCTAGGATTATAGGCAGAAAGCAGTCTTTTAGTAAAAGGAGAAATATTACCATAGTCAATGCATTAATATTTCTCTAGAAACTAGAAAAAAATGAATGGTTAAAACTGGTTGTAATAAATTGGAATGGGTACTGAATTCTCGAGTTTTATTAGATTCTCTAATATGCTTATTGAAAAATATAATTTTCACAGTCGTGATCTTAAAAATGAAAGTAAACAGAATTCCAGGTAATTTATTGAAGTAGTTTTAGCCTCTTAATTCCTCTAGAGACTGAAATTCAGTGGTTACACTGAGCAGAGCAGAGGTATGCTCTGCCTGCATTAGAGAGAACGGCAAAACTGCACCGTTGGTGTCCATTTGGGAAAACAGATCTCACTGGCTCTCTGTCCGCCCCTCTCTCCACTCCCCGTCTGTCCCCCGTCTGTCTCTCCCTTCCTCTTTTCGCTATTGTAGCTATCTGGAAGTCAGTGGAAGTTTCTTGCAACTGTTGGGCACAATATGATCTGCCTAACACATCCTACGACTTTAGCTTTGCTAAGTCACCTCAGGCCACAGAGCTAATAAATGTTTCCTACTTTCTGTGCTATGGGTATTTTCTGCTGATTTTACGACTGAGCCATCTGAAGGTGCTGGCTACTCAGACATACACACTACAGCACACCCGCACATACGACACAGGCACCCTTTAAGTGCCCACCCCCTACCAGTTCCTGCTTCAGGAAGACACTTCCCAAAATTACTTTAAGAACGCCTTTAGTGAGAGTAAACAGGCCCATTCATGGCTAAGATCATAATTTTGTCTGCAAAGTTTTCCAACAATGGCCGGGCAGGGCAAGAGGAGATGTGGGCAACTCCTCTAAGCTTTATTTTGGTTAGTGCTGCTGGAGGAATGCTGGTAAGCAACGAAAGCTGTCTTGTTAGGAAAGTGAGCTTAGCTGGGCGCCTCAGGAAGGGAGGTCTTCCTAGCTAGGAGCTTTGTTCTGACTGGTCCTGATCCTGGCTCTGAGCACCGCTGAGTCCCACGTGGTGCAGCAGCTGGAAACTGTTGTAAGCATGGTGGGCTCTGGTGGTCATGTGACCTTTCTCAGGCTTTCTCTCTGGAGAGTTTCCTCCATTTGAGAAAGTGGAGATTGAAATCTATCAAATCCCTGAATAGCAGGGCTGTTGCCATAGGGATTGTTTTCTGAAGCTGCTTAGCTGTTCCTTAAGTGCTTTTCACCCTTGTCCATCTGTGGCTGACTACAGCTGTTTCCTCTCTCCTTAATATAGAACTTTTCGTAAATTTGAAGTCACATGATGCCTCCCTGGCATTTCTTTTATGAATGTCTTTTATTTCTGTATTTATAAAACGAGAGAAAAAAATTCCTTACCTTAAGGCTTGTTGTAAGACTGAGTGAGTCAATCATGCACATATAAAGCACTTAGACCAATGCCTTGCATGTAGCAGGTAGTGTGTTCACCATCATTAGTAATTCAGAGTCATCCTCATTTAATTTTTTAAAAGGAAACCCAATTAATTAGATGGTTCCATTTAGAAAACCACAGACATCAAAGTCCTAGATATACTCTTTTTTACTTAAAACCTTTATTAATCAAATATCTATTAAAACATTTGCATGTGTATGTCTGCATGAATGTCTGCATACCTGTATGTGTGGGTCTCCAATATCTCAAAATGTGAAAGAAACTTTATTCAAAGAGAAAGAGGCAGAGGAAAGAGGCCAGAAGAGGGCATTGGATCCCTTGGAGTTGGATTTATAAGTGTTTGTGAGATGCCAGGCTTGTTATGTGGGTGTTGGGCTCTGAACTCTGATCCTCATGATTGGGCAGCAAGCTCTCCTAACTGCTGAGCCACTTCTCCAGCCCCCTGCATATCCTCTTTACCTGAAAAGCAGTGTGGCCTTTGTGCCACCAAACCCCTGCTCATCTACTCTCTGCTCCGGAAATTCAAAGCAAGACTCATCTCCCTTGGAAGCTGTACTCAGATTCTGGGCCGATGTGTGTGGCCTGGAACTGGATCTGCAGACTGACCCACATACCTGTATGTGTGAGTCTCCAATATCTCAAAATGTGAAAGAAACTTTATTCAAAGAAAAAGAGGCAGAGGAAAGAGGCTTTGGAGTTGGTGAGTGGCTCCAAAGAGGACTACACTAAGTCTAGAGGTGTGAAGACACAAGGCCCAGCCTCTGTCTATTCTCCACTAACTCCACAGCTCCCCTCCATGGCAGGAAGTTGTGTTCCCATGGCATCCTTCCTACCTTGATGTCAGTGCTAAAATTGCTGATTTTGGTGCAGCCTGCATTCTCCAGGTGGTAATTAGCCCACCGCAGCAGGAGATCTTCAGGAGATAGCTTCATCAAATCCTCCAGGCTCTCTCCTTCTCTCAAAAGAGCAATCAGAGCTGGAGAAGCACAAAAAAAATGGACCGAAATAAATACAGGTGATGTTTGGGGAGAATTTGTTACACCTGACAGAACTCAGCAGGAAAAGCAAAGAGCAGCATTCTCTCTCTGGAGGTAAAACACTTATAGCCTTGCCCATGAAATAAACACCTCACTATTATGTTCTAAAAGGAGGTGCATGCTATTGTGAACTAACTTATTATACCCATCTTTCAGATGGATAAGACAAGGCAGCAAAGAACCTCAACATTCTGCCTAATAACACTAGTTACAGCCATAAGAATCACCATGACTATTGGCTGGAGAGTTTCTGCTGGGTCTATCAGCCATGCTTTGAGATATGATGATGCTTCTGCTTTTAAGAGATCGATTTTGTAATAACGACAATGTTATTTTCTGTTCCCATTCTAAATGCTTTAAAGCCTGCACAATTATAACAACTCAACAACAAATATTTTTTTTGCCCAGTTAGGTTTAAATTTAGCTGATTTGATTTTTTCAAATCAATATTCTTTCTCATGGGCTTCAAGATCTCTATTTGCCTTTTTATGTGTTTTTTTTTAATATGATCTTTAGTATATCAGTTTTAAGAGCCATCTTAACAATTTTTAATTAGCTGCTGTAATTTGAACATGTAAATTGAAAATGTGTTTAAGTGAAGATTAGAATTTGGCTACAAATTTCAGGTTGGTGGGATCTGTACCGATAAGCGAAAGGTAACATTGTGATTTGTATGCTTATCAAGGCCCACTCCTGTCTGAGCAACTGGGTGGTCATTGCTTATAGCAGATAGATAGTAACAACTGTACCTGTGGCTTGGAATTTCTCCTTTCCTCTCTTTCTTCTCCTCCCCAGTCTTGGAGATTAAACCTAGGACCTCATGCATGCTAGACAGCTAGACAGGATCTCACTTAGTTGCCTGGGCTGGCCCTGACTTCACTCTGAAGCCCAGGCAGGCACCAAGCCTGTGATCCTCCTGCCTTAGCCTCCTGAGTAGCTGGGACTAAAGGCCTGAGCCATGAGGTATAGCTTTAGTGCAGAATTTCAAAGCCCTAAATGTGCTTTTCTAATATTTTCTAATTTTTATATTTACTGTTGTGAAGGTTTGAATGAGAATGTCCCCCATAGGCTCCAAGTATTTAGACATTTTTGTACCCAGTTGGTGGTGCTGTTTTGGGAGGTCTTAGAGGGTGTGGCTGTGCTGGAGGAAGCATGCCACTGGGGGCAGGCTTGGAGAATTCTTAAGCCTTGTCAGATCTCCAGTCACTCTCTTGCTTCCTGTGCCTGCTTGAAGATGTAGATCCTAGCTTGTGCTCCTCCTCCAGCCACCTCTGCTGCCACGCCTTCCTGCCATGATGGACTCTTGCCCCTTTGGAACCATAAGTGCAAATACTCTTCCTTCTATAAATTGCTTTGGTCAGTGTTTCTATCACAGCAACAGAAAAGTGACTAATATAATTAAGATACATAATACTATGTCTTGATGTACTAACCATACTACACACAGTGAGGTGATTACCATAGTCAAGCAAATTAACATCAACTAACAAAGGTACCTTTGTCCTCTTTACTCTGGGTGATAAGAGTAACTAAAATCTATGTTTTGGCAAATTAGTAGCATACACAACAATATTATTAGCTATAATCCTCATGTTTATGTTGATCTCTCGATTCATTCATCCTTAAATGCAACTTTGTATCCTTTGATCTACATCTTCCTTTTGAGTCTTCATAAGAAATAGATAAAATTTCTCCCAGTCTGGTGCAGACACTAAAATATTTGAATGTGATTTGCTTTGCAAAATATACATTAAGACTTGTCTTGTTTGTCGTGAAGTCTCTACAGACAATGTAAGCTCTGAAAAAAAAGCTTTTGATGTTGAAGTTCCAGATAGGTTGAGCTATACATTCCAAACAAAGCATTATTATTAGTCTGTGGTCTTTAAAAGCTTTTGCTCTGCCATTTTGAAAAGTCTGGTTTGTGTGGATTGAGTCAGTTACTTTAATACCACGGATTCAATATAACCAAGTAATTTTCTAAATGGGAGAATTCCTGACGTCTTCCTCCTCTAGTCACCAATACAGGCACTAATAGTAAGCCACGTGTTTACAGCACTCAAACTTTGCTCTTACCTTCATTTCTACTGAGTTCAATGTCAGCAAACAACCCAATCTTGATGACTTGCCACAGAAGTCCCAGGACCAGATAAGGCTTCCCCTCCTTCAGGTCCTCAGCCCCTATATTAACCACATGGCACCCAATGGCTGAGGCAGAGTTCAGAGCCAAGTTCAAGTTTTCCTATGAGAGAAAAAGTAAGCAAGCATGGTTCTTTCACTTTGCAGATGCTAAATGATTGCTGATTAGCAACAGCAATGATATTGCCCTTCTGGAATGTTCCCAGGCCCAGAGGCATGGTCTTCACTAGTTTTAACAATGAAAAAAAATAGTGAAATTATAATGAGGGAAGACCTAGTAACCCAGACATTGAGCTTGGCAGCAGCCTACTCAATCAAACCAGCCCCCCATGTGGAAGACCCATGAGGTTAATGAGTCTTGTCTCTCTTGCACTTTGAATCAGAGTCTCCATCAGCCAGAGGGAAGTCATTGTTCTGTCATTGTCTGTGGCTAATAAGACAATTATTGATGTTAATTGAGGTCATAGAAGAGAACAACAGAATAGCTTTTTGACTTACAGATTGTACATTATGGAATGGAAATGAGACAAATCAAATTTCTGTGAAAGATGGATGGGTTTTAATAGAACAAGTTACTGAGTATCCACAATAACTAGAGAACTTGAATGTACATGCATGTACATAGATTCTGTGTTGCTGTGACTAACCGTATGCATGTAGTGTAACTCACATACAGTTGGAATAGGTGATGAAGTTTTCAATCTCTTCTCTATATGCTATTTATGAGCTCACAAAGGAAGAGATCAGTGTCAGAAGAGTATAGAAGTTATTTTTATGGCCAATTAAAACAAAGTCCTCCAGAAATTGAGAGTCCCTCCCTATCATTCTAAATGATGAATTAAATAATTGCTGTTTCTACTTATAACCAAGATTATGACTAAGTCTAAGGGTCAGTTGTTCCTATATGCTTAGGCATTGCTCTCAGTTTGGTTACCACTTCCGTTTTAAAAGCACACAGGGCTGCCTAAATCCAAACAAGAGGTAATGCATTATTCATGATTTAAGACATTAGACATGGTTTCTGAACAAGAGAATTACAATGATGTTAAAACATTAGAACACGAGATGGAAATACAGCTTATTTCCTGCTGGTGACTATTCCAGTTAATCAGCAAATGGAGAAAAGCAGGTTGTATTTATCACAGTGTCAGTGACACTGTGAAGCCTGCCAGAGCATTTCCTGGTTTTTGCCCCTTCCCTTCTTAGAAAAACTGCTCTTTTCAGTTAAATGTTATATATTTGGCATCAATTCAGAGACACATTGCTAGGGAAAGCTTGAGTTACAAAAGCAGCCAATGTGAATTTAATCTTAAGTAACCCAAACAAACCCAGCTACAAACACCCTACCTTCCTTTCTTGACTGCTACATCAATAAAACACAAGACAGAAACATGTCTTTCTACCCAGCTAGTTACATGAAGCCATCAACTCAAGGCCTGGGTTTGGGGGATGGTGGCTGAATGCTTGCAAAAGGCTGACTCAGCAGTGATGGGCTCATCTTGCCAAGCCAGCCCCATGCCCAGGTAACAGCTGGGGAGACAGACCTGAATGGTGAAAGGCGTGAGTTTCTTCTTGTTGATTGTTCTTTCATCAATTGTGTCTGGCACTGATAGATTGATCATTTTACTGAAAGAGAAGCAAATAAATTAAAGAAAGTAGCCTTCTGAGCAACACAGCTTGGTAAAGCACTGGATTTAAATGCTATCAGCATCATAACTAAACATGTCAGCAACATAGCTTTACATACAGTGTTTACATACAGAATCAGGCCACTGTGGTTAGATTTGAACTATCTTTGGGAAAGGTTAATGTTCCTGAAGCTATAATAAGACTCCATTTCATCCCTTCACCTAAAAAGTTGCTGAAGCGCCCTCGTTCCCTTAGCACATCAGTAAATTCTGTATGGATAATCAGAGTGAATCCCCCATAGGTTCTTTGACCATCAATATACTCTTGGGTTATATAACACCTACATTACCATTTGACACTTAATCAATACCTTTAACTAAACATATAATGGCTTTCATATCATTCTGTTGTCATTATTTAATCAATGCACTATAAACTTCCTTCACTTAAGTATCTAATACATTAATCAGACATCCAAAGCAAGTGGTTGTTGCTTATAAAAACCTGATTTTGTCCAAGTTATTGTTGGTTTAATTTTCAACTAGGTATAAAATAACTTCCCTTGGTAACTTCTATTTTATCTAAAGAAAGGAAATTGAAAACAAATATCCAAAAAGAAGTCATGCTTGATGGTGCAGGCCTGTAATCTCAGTTACTGAGGATACTGAAATGGGGGGGATCATGAGTTCAAGGCCTCTGGGCTACAGAATGAGTTCAAAAGCAGCCTGGGAAACTTACTGAGACCCTGTCTCAAAGTTATAAAAAAGGAAGGCTGGAAATGTGACTCAGTGGTATGGACTTGCCTAGCACATGTGAGGACCTGTGTTTGAACCCTAAGACACACAACACACAGACACAGACACAGACACAGACACAGACACAGACACACACACACACACACACACACACATCCAGAAAGAACAAAAGCAAATTTTAAAATATTTTAATTTATTTTATGTGAATGTGTGATTGTGTGTGGGAATGGACATGCCACAGTGCTCATGTGAACATCAGAGGACAACTTTAAGGAGTCAGTTCTCTCCTTCTACCATGAGTCTTGGGAATTGAATTTAGGTCATCAGGTTTGGTGGCAGGTGCCTTTACCCACTGAGCCATTTTGCCAACCCCACAAAAGTAAATTTAAAACAAATATTAACATTTTTATTATTTTTAATCAACTTTTGTTATTTTAAAATATATATTTCTATAACTTTTCCATGTGTACGTGCACATGTGCGCACATACACGCTCACATATATGTGTATTTCAATGGAAGACACTTTACTGCAAATTAGGCAAAACAAACTCATAAACTACCAGTTCACTGCTAGTCAGGAACCAGTGAAGCTCTGGGAGATGGTGAGGGGAGAGCTGACAAAGCAAATAAGATAGCTCTTTTTTTACTGTATAGTCCAGCCACAGAGATAATAAAATGTATGGATATGGAAGCAGTCCAAAGCACAGCATTAGAATACAAATAATACGTCCTGTAAGCTTTCAGTCAGGGAAGAGATCACTGAGCAGGGGTAGGATGGAAAATGTCTTGGTAAATGGGTTTGCATGGGAGGAGAAGGTGGGGAAGGGCATTCCTAAAATGAAAGGCAAAGTCACATTTGCAAGCTCTAAGCAGGTGATAGAGATGAGAGTGTGTTTGCAGTGCCATCTGTCATTCATGCAGTCATCCAGGCTGCATCCTGAGGTGGGTACCAATGAGTAACAGGGATGGTGAGATAACACTGAGAGACGGAACCAACCCAAAGCAGAGGAACCTTTTTAGATGAAATCTCACAGCAGAGGTGGGTACCAATGAGTAACAGGGATGGTGAGATAACACTGAGAGACGGAAGGGGCCTTAGGCACCAACCCAAAGCAGAGGAACCTTTTTAGATGAAATCTCACAGCAAAATCTAATAAATAAAACAGCAAAAGCATAATTGCTGTGCTTGAAGCAGTGGAGAGAAGCTCATGATCTCACCCGGCCATCCCTCTTCATCCTCTAAGCTGACAACATGATGAACATCTCTACTCACTGACTTTGCAGTTGCAGAGAAGCCACTGGAGTAAGTGCTACAGAGGCGGAAGGCTGCCAGTGGGGAGAGTACACACTGAGCTCCAGGGGCCCATCCCTTATGGGAGTTGTGTTTGTGTACAACACTCATAAGTCCCCTTGCTTCTGCACTGGACCACTTTGACAGCTGTTCTGTCCTTCTCCTGTCTGTCCTCAGAATAGGCAATGCACAGATAAAGCAAATGGGCACATACTTCCAAAAAGAATCTCCTCTGACCTTGCATTGCTGTATCTCGGTTTAGTCCGAGCTCATCTTTGTACTCTGGATCTTTCCTCTTCACCAAAGCAATAGAAGTTTCATAGTTTTCATTTCAAATGGCTTCTGAAATGAGTTTGCTCCCTGGCATCCCACCAAGTGGAGTCCGTAAAGGCACCCCAGTTCAAGTGAACATCAAAGGCAGCCAGCCTAGACAAACACTTAACTGCTAACATTCTAGAAAATGGGCAATTCTTTAGAAACCAAGGAGGAACCTTCATTTACCAAAGCACAATGCCGTCCCCAACAGCATTGAAGAGGTCATCGGTGTTGGGGTTCATGGGGATGACATGCCGACAGTCTGGATCATTCTCCAGGGCTTTGTTTATCCAATTGACGAAGGCATACTTTTCTTCCTCTGCAAGTGAACAATTGAATTGACTTGTGGGCAATGTGAAAATGTGATAAATGCATTACCTGTGTGGATCTCAGCCTCCTGCTTGAGAGAGACACTACAAGGCTACCCAGGCCATTGACTGATCATCTCATATTTATTAGTTTTAAAAATCTGAGATCAGTTGGGAACTTGGGAAATAGTCACAAAATACAGTATATTTAGAAGAAAATGTAAAATGCACATGTTTATTTAGATACTAATAATAAAATATTTTATGTAGGTATAATTAGATATAATTTGATCATAAATATGGTTTAATGTTTATAGGATAAAACCTGAGGTTCTTCCTGTGCTGTGCTGATTTAAACATTGGGTGACATAGAAAATCCTTGCACTATCTTTGGATTGAAATTGCTATGAGATGAAATTGTAATGTAACTGTTCTTCCTACCAGGAAGGATGCAACGAGGGACTCTTAAAAGTTTTAGTAAAATCAGAGGTTCTGCCTTATCCCCTAGGCTGTGTTTGGCAAATTGTGTTTCCCTGCGAATAAACATCTCTCAGAGTAATTCTGAATCACTGAAGTTTGGTAAATACTGTATAGGACTCACGGCCTTGAAGAGTCATGATGCAGTTAGACATAGCAAAGACTGAAACTTCTGAAATTTAAAAATAAAAGGCTAGAGCCAGGTGTGGTGGCACACGCCTTTAATCCCAGCACTTGGGAGGAAGAGGCAGGCTGATCTTTGTGAGTTTGAGGCCAGCCTAGTCTACATAGTGAGTTCCAGGACAGCTGCTGGGGCTACAGGGAGACCCTGTCTAAAAAAGACAAAAATAAAATAAAATAAAAGGCTAAACTTTGTTTCAGCAACTGCAAATGATATTTATCTGTGACTTTACCTTTAATATCAAATCATCTTTTTAAAGAACTCATTTTGGGAAATGTTGGATAATTTCACTGTTTAGGCTCTTAGAAATTTCCTTTAAAGTTACTGTATGTCAGCCTTCAAAATAACTTTCTTCCAAATTCAGCAGGCATTAAGAATAATAATATTGAAGATAAAGGCTCTAAGGGCTAATTTTATCTGTAGGTTTTAAAAAGAATTTTTTGATAGATTTTAAAGAATATTTTTTAATTTTTAAAAGTTTTATGTGTATGAATGTGTTGCCTTCATGTGGTAAGTACACCCACCACATGCATGCAGTGCCCTCAGAGGCCAGCAGAGGGCAATGGACCCTCTGGAACTGGAGTTAGCCACAAAATGAAAACTGGGAAATGAACCTGGGTCTTCTGCAAGAGCAGCCAGCCAGTGCTCTTAGTTGCTGAGCCTTTTAAAGAATCTCTTCAGCCCTTTAAAGAATACTTTAGGGGCTGGAGAGATGGCTCAGCGGTTAAGAACACTGGTTTGAATCCAAGTGCCCACATGGCACTTAACAACTGTCCATAACTCCAGTCTCAGGGGATCCGACAGCCTCTTCTGACCTCCACAGGCATTGCACGACATGGGTGCATTTACCTACATGCAGGCAATACATGCATACACATAAAATAAAAATAATAAAATTTTTTAAAAAGTTAAAAAAAAGAATATTATAAATGAAGATGAAACGTCTTGGTACTGGAGGTAGTCAGTTCCTGTGTCACACATGTGGAACTGTCCACTTCCACATGGGAAGACAGGTGACTCTACACAGTTGTGATTTTGTCTTAGCTTTTGCCCCTTAGATTTGCATACTCAGTTTTGAGTCTGTGACCCCAGAAGGTTGAGTCCTTTCTCCCCATTTCATTCTCCTCCAGTCCTCAACTCTCTTGTCTCCTGCACCCTCTCAACCTCTGCTCCCCACCAGCAGCACAGCTTACCTGAGTAGGAATGCTGGGTGCCCACGCTAGACTGCTCTGAGGTACCACCAATGGCACAGATCCCTTCCTTCTTATTGATTGCTTTTCGAAACGTTTTGGCAACCTCAGTGCTTTTTAGGCCATGGAAAACCTGTATAAATATAACATCTTCAGTTCATTTTGGTTTTTATTTATTTGAGACAGAAATGCAGGCTGGCCTGATACTCATTATGTAGTCTAGTCTGGCCTTGAATGTACAGCAAATCCTCCTGCCTTAGCCTCCCAAGTGCTGGGATTACAGGTGTGAGCTACCATGTCCAGCTAGACTAAGGCATTTTTAGAAACCCAAGCAGTAGTCAAGAAAGTCAGAAAGGTGAAAATACATGACAATAAAGAAAGAAAGAAGGACTGCCTCTCCAGACACTTGTTGAAACTGAGTCCAGTTTCAAGGGCATCTCTTTGTATTTGGTGTCACACTCACCTTGATAAACTCATCAAAGCTGATCTTCCCATCCTGGTCCAGATCACCCGTGGCCATCAGGTTTTCTGTGATTTCTCTTACTCTGTACCCAGGCAGAGGCAAGCAGGCAGCCTTGAACAAGTCATTCAACTCATTGCAGCTGATGTATCCATTGCCATCAGTGTCTGTAATGCAAAGGGCAGAGGGAAGCTTCAGGGTAACTCAGGCACAGCCTTTAGAAAGGTAAGAGAAGACTAAATGAGAGGTGTGGGGGCCAGGGACCAGGTGGTGATCATTCAGTGCTTATACTGTGGCCCGGGAAAGCAAAGAGTCAAAATCTGCCAAGAGTCCTATTGCCTCCGGATACAGGCACTGACACTACTTAGAACATTCGCAGTAAAGTGTCACGATTTCAAAGCAGAGTTTCTAGTAACAGAGTCTTTAGGAACTTTGTGTGTGTGTGTGTGTGTGTGTGTATCTGTGTTCATACACAAAGGTGTGTGTTCACATGTGTGTGTGTACACAAGTATGTGTGGAGGTCAGAGGACACCTTGGGGGTCATTCCTCAGGAGCCATCTACCTTGTTTTTCAAAACAAGTTTTTTACACTGAACCTGGAGTTCACCAGTCAGATAGACTGGTTGGCCAGGCCAGGATCCTCTTGACTCTGCCTCCCCAGTCCTAGAATTACAAATGCACACTGCCATGGCCACTTTTTATGTGTTCTGGGGCTCAAACTCAGGTTCTCAAGCTTGAGTGGCAAGCACTTTGTCAACTGAGCCATCTCTCCAGCCCCATCTGCAATCTTTGGAAATTTAAAAGTAAACTACAGGCTTAATGATAAAGAGTAAAAGAGTTTAGATAAAGGAAACCAGATAAAAGCAGATAAGATGTGCAGTGAGCTCTAGAGACATCTCTAAGAAACAGCTTCAGACGAGGAAGCTTATTCATGTTTTGATGAAGCAGCAGCTTTCTCAAATGCATCTTTCACAATCATCTCTCCCAGGTCCTGTCTCCAGTCCCACTGGTCCTCTGCCATCACTGCCATGTGACTCATGAAAGTGTACCATAAAAAAGGTGCAAGTGGGGTGCCAGGTCTACTCACCAACTTTGGCAAAAGCCTCTCTGAGCTCCATCATCTCCTCCTCGGACACTGATCCTCGGGCCATTTTTCAGTGCTTTAGGTGACAGATCTAGGAGAAGAAGCACATACAGGAATAAGTTTTGTGCATGATAACTCTTACATCATGTTTGGAGGCAAATCCTGTTTGTGAAAGAAGACACGTTCTTCTGCATCCTCCATGAGTCGCAGCTATCTTCCCAATGTAAGTCCCCACCAAACATATGGTGTCTCCAGGAACAGCTGTCCACAATTTCTCCCCCTCAGCAAAAAGAGATGGTCGGGAGGTAGAGCTTGTTTTCCAGCCCTTGAATCAAGGCCGATTTGAGGATTGTTGTGACCCTTAGAAAGTGGCTGAAGCAAGGCCAGGGGCTGGACATTTCTGCCTCTTTCATTTTGCAGTGCTAATTCTTGGGCTAATCCAGGAGGTTCGACCTCCCTGCTGTAAGATGTTCACACCACATAAGGAAGCCAGTGAAGGAGAACTGGGTGCTCTGATTACTAGCCCCTCAGGATCTCCCAGGATATCATTACTTGTTACATAGAGATATAGAATTAAAAGATTTAACTTCTAAATAACTCATCATCATCATGATCATCTTTTAAAGTAAAGTTTGGTCAAGCCAACAGATACATTTTATAAGTTCAAAATGAGTAATCAAAGTTAGGAATGAAGGAAAGAAGGTGACCCTCTAATAATTCATATATGGAAATCTGAGGCACTTTTTTTGGGTTTTCGCAGAAAAGCTGTTGTCTTGCTGAGCAACATTTAGTACTTGCCGATCTCTCTGTCTTCGTACATTACTTCTGCCCTCTAGTGGGTAGAAAGAGAATGAAACAGGGAAAACGGACTGCATTCTCCCTGTCCACACATCAACATGTACCAAATGGACGTTCCGAGGAAGCTGGCTGGATTTTCTGGAGAGGAGGCTGTAAGTGGCGGAAGGTGGAGGATGGGGTGCTTCTGAACATAGTTATATTTTAAGCATCTTAATAAAATTACCAAACTTTAAATATTTTAAATCTGTAACAGGGGTGCTTTAAGTGTATTCCCTTTTAAAATATTTTCATACCGTTCTTTAGTGTTGTAGTTGTTCTTAGTGGCAACCAACCACCACACAAAAAAGAATGCTTTAACACTGAAAGCTACAGCTCAAAACTGCAGCACACACAACTAAAAATCTACATCCGCCGGGCGTGGTGGCGCGCGCCTTTAATCCCAGCACTCGGCGGGAGGCAGAGGGAGGCGATGTCTGTGAGTTCAAGGCCAGCCTGGTCTACATAGTGACTCCAGGACAGCTGGGGCTACAGAGAGACCCTGTCTCAAAAAGACCAAAAAAAAAATCTACATCGATTTTACTCTCTTGCCACATACAAACATCAATGATTTTGAACTGTGTTTCCCAGGCAATCTTTCGTTAACAGAAACTTTACATGCAAACGAAAAGAAACAGACAGTTAGAAGCACAAAAAGGAAACAAATAAAAGATACAACTCTGAGAGCGTTGGCTGAAAAGTTTAGGCTGCCCATTACTCTGCATCATCTTATGTTTTTGTCACTGTGTCCATTCATCCATGGGAGCACCAGGGTATATTTGAAAAACCACAAAATTATCTACACAGTTGCATTTCAACTCATGCTAAAAGGCTCTTTTATTACGAATTAAAAGGTCATTTTATTATTATCCATCTTATATATCTAAGGTCGTGGTATGTTGGGTTCTCTGAAGGAATATAGAAAATGTTGAAGGCTAGTTGTGTAACCAAACACAATCTCATTCACACAGCACGGTAATTCCTAAGAGACAGGTTCTAGCAATCTGACCTACCCTACCTTACCTTCCTTCTCCTCCACCTCTCCTTTCCCTCCTCCCTTTCCTCCTCTTACAGTTTTTTTCCAAAAGTAACTTGAACCAAGTTACAAAGACAGATCCAAATCTTAAAGTAAAATCAAGAGGATGGTGAAATTGGTGAGAGGAAAGTAAGCACAGATAAAATAAGATGACAGCACTGGGGAACATTAGTGGTAAAAATAAATGCCTAAAACCCAGCGTTTCTTGCTAGAAATAGTTGAAAATAAAACTCTAGTTCCCTAAAAGTTAATGCTAAAAGAACTGGGGTCCCATAGCAAAATCCTCACCCAGACGTGAAGAAGAAGGCATTTAGGGGGTGTTTTATTGTCTCAGTGTAGACTGATTATGTTCCCATGGTGACTTCCATTTTTATACAGCAAGAAACAGAAACTCAGAGAAGCTAAGAAACACATCTAAGCAACAGTCCAGGTCTCAATTCACTGCCCACCTCCAGCTTTCCATCCAGGTGCCCCACCTTCAGATTGCCTACAGACACTCATTCATTGCTCAGCAACTGTCCAGTAAGTATCTAGAATACTTACTGGAATTGTAAGTATTCCTGGAATAGCCTGTGGGAGATTTCAGCTTCAACACTGTGAGCCTGTCTGGGTGTCGTAGCTGAGGAACTTGCACTTTCATGTGTTATGCAATAAAAGCCTCTGTTATAAGAAACTAGTTGTAGCTTTGCATACCTCACTAAATTCTTGAGACCAAGTTGGCTCTGCTTTCCTCGTACACTGCACGTGTCCGTTTGGAGCAGGCTGTCTTCACCATACCGAATCAAGTCCTGTCAGTCAAAGCTGGTCTAGTCCTACAGCTGGCTGGTCTTTCTTATTGTTAGGCATCTTATCATCTCTTGGTTCATGGATGTTTACAGGGTTGGATAAATTCGTGTACATATTTTATGAATGTCTACAGTAACCAAGCCCTGCTCTTTACCTCAGGTAAAGCGTGTTTCTATTTTTTTTTACATTTCTTTTTTTATTTTTATGTGTTTTGCCTGCATGTGTGTAAGTGCATCTGTGTCGTGCAATGCCTGCAGAGGCCAAAGAGGGTGTTGTATCCCCTGGAACTGGAGTTACAGTTAGCTACCATGTGGGTGCTGGGAATGGAACCCAGGTCCTCTGCAAGAGTAGGCAGTACTCTTAAAACTGAGCCATCTCTCCAGCCCACATGTGTTTATTGACAGTTAGCTATACAGAGGCACAACACAGTGCTGAGAGAGAGAAGAATAAACAGGATCATGGAATCCAAAGGTGGCACTAATACTTGCTGGAGTGTCAGGTTATTAAGCACTGTAAAGACTGCCGAGCCGTGTAAATGCAGGCCGGAATGGGGCTGCCATGTAAGTGTCAAAAGCAGACCCAACCAACAATAAAAGAATTACAGTGTTGGGTAAAAAAGAAAATCCAAAAAACTCCAAAGATCAAAGTAGAGTGAAGAAAAGAAGCACTTAACATCAGAAGTGTCTGGCCCATTCAAATAAAACATTTCTAAAGGAAATGAAAGTCGTCTTAAAATACAGCATGTAGGTCAAGAAGGAACACCGACTAATATTTTCTTAAGGTATCTATGAGTGGGAGGCTCAACTAGTAAGAACAACGTCACATTTTAAAAGTTCTAAAATCTTCAGTGATTCAACAGCTACAACAAAAGAAAAGTGGGTTGAAGCAGTGTAAAAAGTGGCCTGGAGCTGGGTGTGGTGGTGCTCACCTTTAATCCCAGCATTTGAGAGGCAGAGGCAGGTGTATCTCTGTGAGTTCAAGGATAGCCTGCTCTACATAGCAAGTTCTAGGCCAGCTGGGCTACAGGGAGAACCTGTCTCCGAAAAAAAAAAAAGTGGATTGGAGAAGGAAGAGTCAGAGCTGAGTGCTGAAGTTGCTGTGATGCTTTCGGCTCTTGCAGGGTCCAGAGCTGAACATATTGCTGGGTCTCTTTTACCACCTCTGTGGGCAGTGGGTCTTAGAAACACAACCTTATTGCGTGAGACAGAGGGAATGCCAAGAATAGTTTATTACTGCACTGTAACATTGTGCATAAGAAAATTGATATGCACCAATGTGAGACGCTTTATCTGTGCAGATTCTCAAAGGCAGTGCCGGGCTGGAGTTCACAGACGCACTTACTCATGAGCAGAGTAGGGAAAAAGTCATAAAAGGGTCATTAAAGTCCCTGATTGAGAAGAGATCCTTTAACTAATGGAACAGAGTATGCGAATGACAGTGTTTCCACAAAGTGCAGCACTGGCAGGACATAAATTTGGAACATGCAGATCAGTTTCTAAGAGGACATCACTGCAGTTAGCATTAGTTCTTTAGGAGAGTCCGTGTTTGCCTGACAGAGCTATGTGCATGTTTGAAGGGACAGGCTGTGCTAAGGTTCCTAGGGATAAATGGGAGGCTGTCATTTTACAATATTTGTGCCATACAGACAACAGTCATGGGTCCTGCTCAGCCATTTGGGGCCTAAAAAGGGGGACTGAAGAAAGAATGCATCTGTCTTCCAGGGCACAAATGAGCGCTTTCTTCAACTCAGCTTTGTGATCCCCGGGGCACTGAGTATGGCTCAATTTATTAAGTTGTTTTTGGTGCTGGGAATTGAACCCAGAACCTGACATATGTTAATCATGTGCTCTACAAGTGAGCTACAGCCCCAACCTGGCCCCCTATTTTTTTGCAAACATTGTATTACACTTTATGTATGTGTGTGTGTGTGTGTGAGAGAGAGAGTGTGTGTGTGTGTGTGTGTGTGTGTGTGTGTGTACAAATATATTGTCATGATGCTCATGCGGAGGTCAGAGGACAACTCATGGGTGTCAGTTGTCTCCCTCCACCATACAAGCTCCAGAGATCAAACTCAGGTTGTCAGCCTCAGCAGCCAGTTCCTTTACCTGCTGAGCCATATCATTGGACCTTTTTAATGGCTACATCATCTATCAATGCCCTCTCAGGAACCATTTTAATCAGCAGTAAGTTCTAGAACTTCATTTCTGAATCACTGCCCAAATCATAAATCTAACAAGACAAATGTCAAATCCTTTATTTAGGTCACTTCTGGCTGCTGGTTTTTCAGCGAGCACTTCAACTTAGTAAGTCAACAGCTATAGAATCCCGACACATTTGCCTAGAGAAATCACTAGTTCTGTTGTCATTGCCATCATCATCATCATCATCATCATCATCCTTTAACTCAAAGAACTCTCAAGTTATAAACACCATAA